GTGACCCTGCTTCGGCAGGAGGGTTGGACTAGATGACCCACAGAGGTCCCTTCCAACCCGTGCCATTCTGTGATTCTGTGATTCTGTGAGGTCTTGGAGTTCCTGGGGTCACCTCCCCTTTTAGGACAGGCTCTACCATGGCCAAAAGATCAGGCGCTCCCTGTTCTGCAGGGACCGAGGTTCGTCTCCGCTGCTCCGGCATGGCTTGTTTTGTCGTGGGGAATTTGTCTGATGGGAAAGCAGAGCAGATAAGGCCAGGCCCGCAGCTCTGCAGAGCGCGTGGGAGAGCGTCCCAGGTTTGGGACCGGCTGCCGTGAAGAGTCCCGGCGGGTCCCCCCCCAGGGGATAATTGAGAGTCCCGGCGGTTCCCTCCCAGGGAGATCATTGCGCTGCCCGTATTTCACCAAAATGCATTAAAAACCAGGAAGAAAGCGGAGAGGCTCTGGGGAAATCTCAGCTTCGCCAGGCCGCGGGGTGGAGAAATTTGGTGGAGCTTGTTTGGAGAGTGGTCCTTTCTGCTTCCTCCCCACCTCACAGAGCACGGTTGCGTCCCTGGCGCCGTGCTGGCTTCCAAGGCGATAAACGCATCCTCCACGCTCCAGCCCAACCCTGCCCGCGGCCGCTGCCAGCTCCTCCTCTCCATGCCAGCAGCTGGGGTTACACTAATTTGTGTTTAGTTTCCTCCCCAGTGCCGGCCCCGCCGATCCTGCAGCTGGAGGAGTGTTGCACCCACAACAACAGTGCCACCTTGTCCTGGAAGCAGCCGCCCTTGTCGACGGTGCAGGTGGAAGGCTACATCCTGGAGCTCGACGACGGCAACGGCGGCCAGTTCAGGGTAGGTGCTCGGAGCACAGAGCCAGCCCCGGCGGCAAGGCGTTGCTCCTGGCTCCGGTACTGCCCTGCCACGAGGGGACCGAAGAGTTCCCCAGACTTTTTTTCCAAGTCCCCTCCATCCCTGGAAACGTGAGGCTCGCTGCGGGGGTGCCCAGGGAAGCTGATGGTGCAGACAAGCTGTGGGCTGTTTTGGGGGGGGCAAGGTTATTTGAGGGGGTGGAAATACCTTTCCAGTGACCAAGGACTTGCAAGCACAAAGAACACGGCTGAATCTGGGTCTTTTTGGGTTGCTAAATATTTCATGCGAGGTGTGCTAATTGCCATGGAAGACTCATGGTTTGCCAGCTGCCAGCAGGCAGAGGTGTTTAAGGCCTGAGGGCTTTTAAATTGCTGTAATTACGCAATTAAAATATGATTTTTCTCCGATCCGACAAGCTGATAATTATCCTGGCGTGCTCACATCCACCGAGAGCAGGCGCAGGGACCAGCCCATGGCGTTTTCTGAATTCATCCACCAGAAACTCGGCCAAGCAGGAACCAGAGCAGAGCCGAGGCAGAAGAGAGGTGGTAGAGGTGGCATCTGGAGTGAGAAAGGAGCAGGAGGCTGCTCCCAGCCCCGGTCAGGGTCTCAGGAGGGGTGGGAGCCATCATCTCTGCTCTGCAGTGCTGGGGAGCATGCAGGCACCCCGATAAGCTCTGGGGACTCGCACCCACCTGCGAGGAAAGGGGCCGGATTCAAGCGTTGGCTCTGGAAGCAGCAGCACCGCATGGCCCCGGCAGCAGACAGGGCGCTGGCGTGGGATCTGCTAATTGCAAGTCGAGGGTTTGTGAGCCGCGTGTGTCGGTAGCCCGCAGGCCTGCTCACCGCCGTCCCCGCTCGCACGGCTCCGTTCCTCTGAGCGGGGCTACGGCAGCAGAAGCGTAACACGCCGGTGAGTCAGAGCCCGCTTGCCGCGGTCACCTCGTTTTCTTTCAAGGAATGGTTTGATCCTGCCACCCTGACATGGAAAATTGTTTTCTGCAAGGATGTTTCTGTGTCCGGGGCTCAGTCTGTGTAAACCCAGAGCTGGGTGTGCTCTTCCCTGGATAAAGAACTGGCTGAATGGCCGAGTGGTGGTGGATGGAGTTCAATCCAGCTGGCGGCCGGTCACAAGTGGTGTTCCCCAGGGCTCAGTTTTGGGTCCGGTCTTGTTGAACATCTTTAGCAATGACCTGGATGAGGGCATTGAGTGCTCCCTCAGTCAGTGTGCAGATGACACCAAGCTGGGCAGGAGTGTCGATCTGCTCGAGGGTAGGAA